ATCCTTAATCCAGAAAGAGAAACATCGTATGTATTCACTACTATTTGGATATTAGCTATTATGTCAATGAAACTGTAGGTTTACAATCTGTAGAACCACAGAGGTAGAAAGTAAGGGACTTGGGGACACAGATAGACCTCACTGTGAAAGAAAAGTAGAATTGATAGTTATGAATGATGAGGGCAGACAGAGCCCCACTTGACCATCTCTTGTTGCAAAATGTAGCTAGGGTAAAACCAAACACTACTGTTGAATAACAACCAAAAGAAAGCAGCAAAATGACTCAGAATGACATTCTGTTACAGTCATAGTTCAGTGTCTTGTGCAACCATCATCAGAGACATTTCTTCCTGTAGCAGATGGAAACAAGTACAGAGATCCAAACCCAGACATTCTCATGCAGAGAATGAGAAACCTTGGAATACCTAGTTCTAAAGGGGGTGTCTCCATCAAATTCTTCCCCTCAGACCACAGGAAATGAGGAGGAAGAGGGGGAACAAAGAATGTAAGAGCCAGAGGAAACAAGGGATATCAAAAAAACAAAACAAAACAAGACCCTTGGAATCAATATGAGCAAAGCATATATGAGCTCTGAGATTGAGGCAACATGGATACTGGGTTTGTGCCAAGTCCTTTGCTTATATATTCTGGCTTCCAGTTTAGTGTTTTTATTGTATTCCTGAGTTTGCAAACAAGTGGGTATCTGTTTCTTGTACCTTCTCTTGGGTTCTTTTCCTTCTGTTTATTTGTTTTATGAAATTCTAATGTGTTAGTTTTGTCTGATACTATTTATATTTATTATATATTATATTTATCATATTACTCTATTCCTTAGGAACTCATTTGTTTTCTAGTGAGACAGAAAGGAAGTGGATCTGGATGGGATGACAGGTGGAAAGAATAGAGGGAGGAGAGACTCTAATCAGGATATATTATGTGAGAAAAAATCTGTTGTTAATAAAAGGGAAAAAATTAAAACAAAAAAGAGAATAAATGCCTTTATCAAAACAAATGACCCTGTTAAAGATTAACCTTGCTCTCTTCAGTTAGCATGACAGTGTGTAGCTCTCCTTCTTTCTTCATGCATTGGTATCCCTCTTCAACTTGCTCATTTCCTCCAAGATGTTAAGGGTTTTAAGTTCTTGATCCTTAGACATAGTCTTTTGCTTTAAAGATGATTACCCTCAATAAAGTCATATACTTAAGTATAATTGACCCTCGATAGCTATTCAAAATACACATCAACTTCACACTGAAATGCTCAGAAAACAAACTGTGTGCATATTCAAATGAATGAAATGGCTTTCAAATTAAACTAAAAAAAAATGAAGTTTGTTAAGGTGGGACTTTAAAGATTTTCTTGGTCATAGAGAAGCTCTTGTCTTGTGTTCTAAAGTCAAAACCACTGTAAAATCTGTAAAATGTGATTGTTTCATTTTTTTTAAAGAAAAGTCCAACTTTGTATCTTTCATATAGTAAAATAATAATAGAGAAAGGCTTGTTTACTGTGTGTCACAACAGAGAGGGAAGAGAACAAGCTGTAATATACCAAATGTACTTTTTTCTAACTAATCTTCCTGGGCATGCAATCAGTGGGGGCAATACATTTTAAAGTGAGAGCTTATCTCACGAAGACATTCAGATGGTAGGAAGCAAAGATGGATACACTCTTCTTATTATAATTAGAAAATTGAAGAAATGTTGATCCAGGCTGCCTTCTGCTGATTTTATGAGATAGGCTGGCTAATGAAATTATAGAGAGGCAGCTCACTTCGTGGCATTATATATTGAAAATCGGACAGTGCAATCAAGCTGCAACTAAAAACACATTGTCCTCTATTTTCTTCTATCCCCAACTCATAATCAAAACCACAGGTTTTTTGAAAAATAAAAATAAAAGAAACAAAACCCTCTAGTATAAGAAATGATTGGATTTGCATCACTGAAACAGAAACAAATAGTTGTAGTTCATACATTTCCCTAGCTGCACAGCAATGTATGAACATGGTGAACTAATTGTACACTCATTGTTAATGAATACTTTTTTTCTAAGCTCTGTGTTGTTACTCAAAATGTATTTGAGCATTATTTCGCAAAAATGTCTTTGCACACACATTCCGAAATTCCTCTAGTTAAGAAGTTCTGATATAGCACATTACCATTATTGTTTTGTATGGACTGTTGACTTTCTTTTCCTGGTCAATCCCCTTGTGTGTTAGTGAGCTTTTGAAACTAAATTCCTAGCTCTGGTTCTCCAACTACATTCTTCAGCCAGTCCTTTAGGAATGAAGATTTTTCATTTTATGTCTGGAGACATTTACATTTCATTTTTGAAAAACTTGAGGAGTAGGATTCTAGAGTCACAGTCTTCTCTAGCAATTGGCAATAATTTGTCTGGATTACTCCATTAGGTTGTTGAGATATTACCTGTTAGATCTAATTCCGAACACACATCTTTTTGTAGGCAGTCTTCCTTTTTTTTCGCTGTAATTTAAACTATACTGTCACCAGCGATCTACATTCTCAGTGCACTGAGTGGAGTTTTTTTTGATTCATCTTACATGTAATTGGATAGAAGTTGTTAAATCTAGGGTTAGATACTTTTATCATCTTTTGAGGAAATTCCAGCGATTTCATTCTCTAATATACTTTCTTCCATTCCCTCAGAATCTCACTTACGGAAGAATGTCACACTCTATTACAAGTATGAGGGAATGTTCTATGATATCTTCGAATCTCTAATTTACTACCTTTTCCAAATTTATTATAGCTCACTATGCTTCTTCACTTTGTTTTCTAGCATAAACCAGATTTCTTTAAAGAATTCAAACTGACACGTAAGTATGACAATGTCATGATGAAACCTTTTACTTTGAATGCTAATGTAAAAACGTATAGATGACGTAACCAATATGGGCTGGATCGATGGTCCAGTAAAGAACACTGCATAATCACTCAGACCAGTGTTTAGACGCCAGCACTTGCATAATAAATCACACATTCCACAAACACCTGGAACTTCAGCTTTGAGGAAGTGGAAACCTCTTCTGGATTCCGCACATGCAAAGGCGTATGCCGCCACACATTCTCATGTAAGCTCACGGACTCCGCCTGCGGACATGCAAGTAAATAAAATACAGATTTTCTTAACTTATCAAGTTGAAATATTAGAACGAATAGGTTTGGAAAGTTCTCTTTGTGTCCTAAGCAACAACAGCATGTGAGTTTAATGGAGCAATGATACTCTTTATTACTCTATTTTAAGGCATGGTGACACATGCCTTGAGCCTAACACTTTGGAGCAAAAGTTGGGTGATGAGGAGATACAGTCTAGTTTTGGCTACATAGCAAGTTTGAGGTCAGCTTGGACTACTAGAGAAAATTATAAAAATGATTTATCATATTTAATAGCAATTACAGAATATATAAGTATATTCTTAACATATTTCTCTTTTTAAGATATTAAATATATTTTTAACTTTTTTGGTACATCATGCACCACTATTCCACTCATCTCCCACCTTGTACCTACCCTCTGCCTAAATAGAGGGAAAAAAAATCTCCTCGTGGAAGCTCTAGTGTGTCCCAGTGTGTCCCACAGTATATCCTTTTGTCCACACTTCTTTGCTTGCAAATGTTCCTTGCAATAACTGGTATGAGGTCTCTGGCTCTTGCCACTCTATCAATACTGGAACCTTACTGACACTCCTCTTGGATATCCTGTTGTTGCCATGTGTCATGGAAATCCTGTAGTTTCTGATCTGTAGGACTGGCCCCTGCATGCACTCCAGCATGCAGATTGGGTAGATGTTGGGGCGGGCCAGTTCCAAGCCCTGAATCTGGGCCTGAGAGGTATTCGATCTGCTCAGCCTGCAGGCTCTCCTGCCCTCACAACCTCAAGGCTGGCCCATGGCAAGGCGCAGGGCCAGTTCTCCCACTCTTATAACCTTAGGGGAAGCTCTTCCACCTGCCAAGGGTGGTGAAGAATGAGGGAGAGGAGGAAGGAATCTCTCTCTCATCCCCAACCCTGCACATCAGTCAACAGGCGAGCTGGCTCTCCTTTGTTTACACCCTGTTCACACTTTCAGGTCAGCTCACTGCAATCCAAAACCAACTTTACTATCCTCCCCAGACAAGGAGCATGGCTCACTTACTTGGGTGCTACAGTAGGTGAGAGATAGAGACAGAGCTCCTGCTCTGACGATCCGGCCTGTTCCCCTGCCTGCAATAGGTGGCAAAGGACCGTGCGAGGGCATCTCTCCCCCACTCACATCACCACACGGTAGACAAGTAGTTAGGCAAGCTCTTCCATGCTCATGCGCTCAGTGCCTGCATATCCCCATCATCAGTGTCAGTTCTATTGTGCTGCCCAGGCAAGGTTCAGTGCCCACTCTCCGGAGTGCTACAGATGCTGATGGGCAGGAACAGTTCTCCCGCTAAGCCAAGGCAAGGGGTGGGGCCAGTTCTGCATAGGCCTTAGACATCCACTTGTCCCTGGGTGGCAGTTCAGGCCAGGGACATCTGCCTGGCCTTTGGTGGGAACAGACCCCCTGCTGCTACAGCACCACAGATTCCCACTGTCGTCCCAGTTGGCAGCACAGGCCAGGACTCCTGTGATATCGCGGGCTACTCCCATGAGGTTTTCTCTCACTACCCTCCAGTTCTTCCTCTCTTCATTGAGCCCACCTTCTGCTTCACTCTCTTTCATTTCTCTGTCATTTACTCGTTCCTCTTAATGGCGCTAGGGTCTCTGAGCATCTGGAGTTGCCTCACAGGCGTCTCAGGAGTACTATACCCCATTTATGCATTGTGGCATTGTGGGGCAAAGTTCATCCACGACATGATCTGCTACTCCTGGCCTACTTGGTGCTGGACTGGTGGTCACCTTAGGCTAGCTCCTGTTCAGGACTCCATGGCACCAGTCTGGTGGTCATCTCGGAGTCCTAGGCAGGGTTCTTCTAATCTCTGCCTCACTTCCGTTAGGCCCACGTATGTTATGGAATGTTAGGCTACTCATCGCTCAGATGTTCTCAGGTCAGAACACTGAGCATAGTCTCTGTCCTCTCTGCCACCTACAGAGGCACATATGTCACAGCAGTTATAATTCTTAATTACTTTAGGAATAGTCTATTATTAGTTTCTGTCATCAGACCCATGTACATAAGACCTTTTTTACTTAATTTGGTGCATTACCCCTGTACAAATGGAAAGATGGACTTGAAGACCAATATAGCTGATCATTCTGATACAGTGCCAACTCAACACAGGAAGCACAGGATACTTTCCCCAAAGTTGACAGAAAAGGTAAAGTTTCTAAAGCTTTATATTATACATACACATGCGGAGAGAGGAGAGGAGGGAGGGAAGGTGGGTGAAAGAGAAAGATAGAAAAAGAGGAGAAAGAGGTTCACACACATGCATAGAGAGGGAGAAAGAGAGAGACAGAGAGGGACAGAGAGGTGAATTTGGAGTCATCTGAACAAAATCATATACACATCCAGCATCCTTCATTTTATAAAGAAAGTCAAAAGCAAAATCCAAGTAACAGCAAAGTTCTGCTGCTGGTATGCTTGGTGCCTGGCACATTTTATTAGCTTCTCCATCATCATCTGGATAAACATCTCTAGTTTCCTATGTGGAGATGTTTATTTCAGCCGCATTGAGAGTCTGTCAATGGGGCTTTGTTAAACAACCATCATTCTTTTTCTTTTCATCAAAATTTAATAATGCCTCCTTAAATAAAGAGTTCTCTAATGCCACATTCAAGTCAATAGCCAAACTACAACAGTCTGAGAGCCTTGGAATCTCATATCAAGTAAAATCATTCAACAAAAAAGTATCATTTGAACCAGTTTATAAGAACCAGAATGCAAGGATCATAATTTTCTAATTTGCTTCGGACCACTCCATTCTCTGGTGATCAGAAAAATATCTATAACACACTCAATAAGGGATTAGAATGAATTAATATCAACCCGTGATAATTGCTACAAACACAGTGATGTGATGCCTGGGTTAAATTCAATCTATACTTTCTGAGAGCTTACAACTGGAAGATAAATAAACTGACCTAGAACAAGCTAAGAATCAGTATGGCGGAGGTAACAACACAGGGACAGTGACATTTGTCTTTTATTCTGTCAGCTATTTTTGTCTAGAGCCACTGAAGTATAATATGCACACATCACTGTATTGTTTGTGGTTCTGATTATCATGACGCTTGTCTCCAAAATGCTCAGAGATCATTATCATTAAGTAATTTTAGTTTTTTCCATTTGTGATTGCTCTCACCTCCCTCCCTCCATGTCCGTGCTCTATATAAACCATCTAATTAATTGCTGATAGATACATAGTTAACTGAGTCCACGCATGACAACGTTAAGGGAATTATCTGGCTCATACCGAATGTGACAAAAAAATGAAAAAAAAAATAAAATCCAGGTTGATTTTTCTCAGTATCAAAGTTGATATAATTCAGTTGCTGTTACACTTCTCAGAACTTGATTTTCACTCAAGCTTTCCCATAAATATCTTGCAAGGTCAAGGTGAACTGGATTCAGTTTTCTTGTGTTCTTAAGTACTCTATCCCTAAGCAATGTGTAGCCAAAATAGAATTAGGAAAGTGTTTGGTCCTATAGTGTTGGCACAATGTTTTTGGCTGTGGTCCCAGTGCTTGGACTCTTCCAGAAAACTTGAAATCAATGAGATGATCTGTTGTTGAATCCCCCCAGTTCTTAAACTTAAGCTCTCTGCTCCATAAAATAAATTTATTTATTTATTTACTTAATTATTTATTTAGCGTCTAGAAAGCAATTCTAGGGTGTACATTTTATTTGTATCCTGCCTGAAAATTTTAGAGCCATCTTTGTGTATGAACAATAGTAGAACCAGTAATTTCTTTCTCTCGTTGCCACAGAAAAACCATGCCTCGAGCTCAACACTCTTTGTTTTCATTTTCTTCCTCTGTAGCGACCTCTAGACTAGTAAATATGTTTACCACGGTAAGAAGATTCCAACAAGGACTTGTCATAGGCAATTGCTGCAATTTGGATGAGTGCTAGTTTGTGGATGTGGATTCTGCTCTTGGCATCATGCTTCAGCTAAGTTGCTGACAGGGGTTTGTGGCTATTGTGACACTGTGGATAAGCAGCTCTGAGGCACCCTGTATTTCTCATTTTGATGTCTGGGGCACCAATAGGAGATACGGCCTGTACTTTTAAAATTATTCTTTCCCTTTCAAATTCATTTCTTTTCTCAAGTTATCTCTGTCATTTCCTTCTTCAGCTCATGCTTTCTTCTTCTCTGCCTTTGCTGTATTTTCTTCAACCAAAGGGATAAACTTTCTCCCCATTGTGAGTCTTAGCAGTGATTCTACAGAAAAGCAAGCAAGCACTATGAGATGACATTTTCCACAAAGTCACTTAAGGATGTTCCCATGGTTACATTGATTGAACGAACACCATCCCTCTGTCCTCTTTTATGTGAGTTTCAATAGTTTCCTGCCACTAGCCTTAAAATCCTCCGTAAAAATGAGTATGGCCAAAATATAAATAACAACAATAATTGGTCATTTCCTATAGTTTCCAAAGAAGTTATCTGAATTTAAAAATACAAAGGGTGTCTTCTTTCTGTTAATATGAACACTCAGACTTTCATAGATAGTTCTGCAATACTTTCCTATCTTCAGAATTACTTTTTTATAATACCTGTTAACCAATGTCCAGCAAACATGAACAAGTACAATAGTCAACTCTGAATCTTGAATCCTATTCTACAGCTCTAGAGCAGGCCTGAGGCCAATTATTAACAAGTTTGTAAATGATGTTAATTTTATTGTTATGTAGAACATAGAATGTTACTTTGAAAGGCAGACAATGGAGTTAGAAGCAAAGCACCTGAATCTCTCTGTCACTGTAACATGTGTGTGTGTGTGTGTGTGTGTGTGTGTGTGTGTGTGTGTGTGTTGTGTCTGTGTGTTGTATGTGTGTTGTGTATGTGTGTAAGCATTTATTTAGCTAATACCTAACTTCCTGATTCAATGATAACACACTAGTAGAGACTGGTAGCAGATAGTCTTGGTCCTACTTTATAGAAGTTCTAAAGGTAATGCTTTTGTTGAATGCAAGAGCAGAACCACAGCTTTATATGATTGCTGTGAGTTTCATACAGAAGCAAAGAGGAAGCAAGTTCACCTCCCAAGAGTTTCTCAATCTTGTCACATAGTCATACATGGATAAGCTTACAGAACTCTCTTTGCTTTCCTCATAAAAATGTTGGGCTGCTTGCTCTTTTACTGACAGAGTCCGTGAATGCTATTTCAACAAGAGAGAGATTTAAGACTCTAATTTTAAAAAACAGATTCAAATTGGCATCACTGTATCCCTCCTCCTTAGAACACAAAACTTCAAGGACATAATCACCTTGTTAAATATGGAACAGCAAAGGCAACATAATCAGGAAAAAAAATAAAGCTTCTCTGTCAAAAGAGTGATTTAGTGGCTGGCATTAGTAGCCTCTGAAGCAGTGGGAGCAAATCATTTGTAAATGTAGGAAGCCAATTATCAGTAATGAAATATAGTTGAATAACAAAGAGTAATTCTTCTTCAAACTATAGTAATGTATTGAAAATAAACTTTCCAAAGAAGTATATTCATTGTAAAGTTCTTTACACACACACACACACACACACACACACTCATCATTTTAATTGTCAGGTCCCTTTGGAGTCAAGAACTTCCAAATGATATTTTAGCAAGAATTCTGACAGCTGGGAAAAAACCACCTGCTGAGTTACTACCTTTTAATTGAAGGTATGACAAACTTGACTAGAGAAGCAAAATTTAAAGTTAAGAAATCTGTTCTAATGCATTCTAAAATTAAATTAACTCTGTTATGTATAAGGAAGAAAACTAAGTTCATGATTTACAATGACTTTCTTTATTTCTTTCCCATATTTCTCTCTGCTTTAAGAGAATTCACATATACTGCCAAGCAGAATGGCTAGCAAGCATTTTGGAGAATTCAGTGTTTAAGAAGGTAGGTGCACAAATAAGCCATTGCTAAATTGTCCAAAACAAAGCTTAACACATGAGAGGAAGGGTGGAGTTGCCTTAAGATAAGAATTTCGGAAACAGATGTGACAGCTGCCAAAGACAATGAAGGGAAGTCATTAGGGTAGACTTCAAAGAAGTTTTGCAAACTTATGGGTAATGGGAGGCCATTTCCACCCAGTCTAGAGTTTTCAATCTGAGACAAAACGAATCTTCATTTGTTGGTCATCCCTATGCATTCAAGAAGTTTGATGAGAAGTGCCACACACCATTAATCCCAACAACCAGAAATATTTTCAGCTATTCACAGTGAAGGAGTTAGCTAAATCTCCTTCTGGAACTGCATATAGAATCTCAGGACTTCTGATATTATCTACATTAGCTACCCATACTTTTCAAAAAATGGAAGGAAGGAAGGAAGGAAGGAAGGAAGGAAGGAAGGAAGGAAGGGAGGGAGGGAGGGAGGGAGGGAGGGAGGGAGGGAGGGAGGGAGGAAGGAAGGAAAGAAGGAAGGAAGGAAAGAAGGAAGGAAGAAGGAAAAGGAAAGTAGATGTATCTTCGTCATATTTTTCTTTCTTTATAAGATGACCACTTACTTTCATGGATGTACAAATTGGTCTTAATGTAGCCCAAGGCAAAAGCAGAAGTTTCCAAGTGGGTAATGTGGATTAGATATCCTCCCCTCTGCCTCCCTCAACCCAAACACAAATAATCATAGGAGGTAGAGGGTGGGAGGGACTTGAGGGAAAGAGAGGAGGGAAGTGGAAAAAAAGGGGCAGGATCAAGTATGGGAGGAGACGGGGAGTTGTACAGAGAGTGTCAGGAAATTGAACAGAGGTGTGTAGCAATCGAGGATGGGAAACTGGGGATAGGTACCAGAAAGTCCCACATGCCAGGAAAGCAAGAGGCTCCTAGGACCCAAGGGAGGTGACATTAGCTGAAATATCCAATAAAAGAGAGAGGAAACCTGTAGAGACCATATTCACAGGTTAGGCATGGACCCTGATTGAAGGATGGGGCCACCCACCCAACTCCAAAATTTTTAACCCAGAATTGCTCCTGTCTAAAAGAAATACA